TATTTACAGCTTACATTTCAATTTTAACACTTTACCTCCTGTAGACTTATACAACATAATGCATTGTTGAAAATGAATCAAGTGGCTCCCAACCTCTGTGGGTTGTGTCTGAATAATCAGCATGGAACTGTTTCTGGGAGAAAATACATTTTCCTTGAAATGTAATTGTTGATGATGTTATGGTGTCTGGTAACGTTATGTTTTTGAGACCAGGCTGAACGATGATGCATCAGTATAAACATTTTGATTATCACACATCATCAGCTGTATCATTTGATTTTAAGAAGAACATCATTTTAGTTTTGTCAACATTTAGTACAAGTCTCATTAACAGAGATTCCTCTGAACCACAAAGCAGATTGCAGTTCCTCCATCGACCTCGCTGAGGTTGAGCAGAACTACACATAATGCTGTCGTCCGCATACATTAGTTATTTTACAAATGATATTGCAAAACAGATTATTGATATAAATTAGCAGAACTATACATAATGGTGTCGTCAGCATACAAATGACATTTAGTAGTAATCACATTGCAAAACAGATTATGGATATGAATTCTAAATAAAATAGGACCTGATATGGACCCGTGTGGGACACGCCTTTGTATATTTAATGTAACTAAACAATGACTCTGTAGAGGAATCAATCAAAGTATATTTATTCAAAGACTGGACTTAAGTACAAGTTTGAAGTGTTTGTTCTTTACTTGAGTCTTTACATCGATTACATTTTACACTTGTACTCCACCACAGATATATTAACAGCTTCACTAATTTAATTAAAATTTTAATATTTAGCATCTGGTAAACAATGGTAGAAGACAATGCATTGTTGAACCAGTGGCTCCCAACATGTTTTGGTTGTGTACCACCAGAGCTAGGTTAGAACATTTATTATTGAACAATAATAATAATAATTGGTCCCATAAGGTCTGGTAGATTTGAGTATACCATACTTTTATATTCAAGAATAAGGAGAAAAATATTTTTTGTATCATTCAAACAAACAGTTTACTAGTATTTGAAATATCTCATTTGCATATGAAGGGAACATTTGGAACCTTGTCCCTTATCTGGAAGGAATAATAATGTCAAATACAAGTTAATACTTAAAACAGATGATTGTACTTCAATAAAATGAATATTTTACTACAAGAAAACGAGCAAAATCAATTAAAATATACAGAAATAGTTCATGTGTCAATAAATACAATACACAAACAATCTCAGTTTTTCGATCATCAATCAAATAAAACCAAAGACAGATTCAGGTTTAGACAGTTCTGCAAAGTCAACAAATCAAACGTAAACTCAAATAGTGAGAACAAATGAATATCTTAAATTCACTAAAATGTGCATCACACTCAAGGTACTGGGCTGATGGGATGTTTATTAGGAGGTTTGTGCATATTTAGTTATTTATGGAAACCTTTGCTCTTGATGAACACCCTGACAATCTTCTGCCTGAGCTCGTTACACTGCAGCCCGTAGATGATGGGGTTCAGGACCGGCGGGACAACGTAGAACATGACGGACGCCACTTTCCCACTGTCCGCCCACTCGGGCCGACGGTGAATGATCATGGGCGTGAAGGATGCAATGATCAGGTACACGGCCAGGTGGGTGGTGCAGGTCTTGCCGCTCAGACACACCGTGGCAATCCTCAGGTAGGTGAGCGTCACGCTCCCGAGGGAGGAGCCCAGGATGATCACGGCGCTGCCGAGCCCGTAGATGTTGTTTATGAGAAGGTTTTGGCAAGAGAGCTTGAATAAGGAGGCGTTGTCGCAGAACGGGTTGACGATGACCCGCCTGCAGCGCGTCAGGCGGATGGTGAGACCCAAGAGGATCGCAACAGAGATGAAGGCCACTGTCCACGCCGACAGCGACAGCTTCACCACCAGAGGGCTGGGCTGCAGAGTGGATGTACCGCTCTGTGATTGGAGTAAAAACGTTACTCAACAAGCGAGGGATGACGGTCGTCGCCCCGAACGCCTCGTTAACACTCATGTTGCAGAAGAGCAGGTACATGGGCTGGTGGAGGCTCCTCTCCATGGTGATCAGGACCACCAGGCCGACGTTGGACACCATGATGAAGATGTAGATGAGGAGGAGGACGAACGGAGGACTCTGGGCTGACCTTTAACCCCTCCATGGATATGATGTCCATACTGAGAGTTGAGTTGTCCATGCTGCAGAGGACCAGAGACAGAGTTAATGATGATGATGATTCATGAGCTGGTTCAAGAACATGCAATAAAGCAAGTCAAATCCTTCAGTTTTGACTTAAAAGAGAAAATATAACGTGAGTAACCTCGTCCCTCCTCTTTTCATTCAAAGCTTGGTTTCAAACATTTCTCAATAATATTAAATATGAATGACTAAATATTTACAGTCTGTGCACATGAGACATCCTCTGACCCTCCAAATAAACAACTATGGGGAAAAAACATGCTTTTTTATTTTACATTAGGAATTTTACAGTCAAACATTCAGTTAATAAGCTGATCTACAAACACAAGAAAACACAACTGTCAATAGATTTTTTCTTTAAATAACACAGAAACAAATCTGTCGAGCGAAATGATGAAACTATATTTGAGGTTTTCACTGAATATAAGTCTAAAGAATGCAGGTATTGTTATAAAACATCTTTACTGTAATCCCACTTAGACCCTCGATGCATCGCTGCTTTAAAGTGTGACGTGAACACCAGAGAACATTTGATTACTTTGTTCTGTTTGCTAGTCAGAGATCATTTTACATCAACATGGTGCGTGATGCAGATGCAGGTTGATCTAATTATTTATTATTATTATTCATACATTTTATTGCAAGGCAAGTTTATTTGTATAGCACATTTCAACAACAAGGTGATTCAAAGTGCTTCACATAAAACCGTTAAAAGCATCAACACATAAGGCAAAAGAAAAGGAGATGTAAAAACAATTAAGAACATTTATTAACACTAAAAAGTTGTGGAAGAAATATAATACAGTAGTAAAATGCAGAAATGTATTAATATCCGTGAATGTGGTTGAAGTAAAGGCAGCGAACAGAAAGTCTCATCAGTCCTGATGTAGAGCAGCTGAGGCTCTCAGCAGACCTACAGCTCTCTGGACTCTGTTCAGAGATGTGAAACACTGAACGCTGCTGAACGTCTTCACCTCGCTCACTCTCTCACTTTGGTATGATTTGAAATTCATTCAGATGATTAACTTCACTTCATTCTGGTGATCCTAATCACATGTAAATAAAGACATGTCACTGGTTTTAAAAGAGTCCTCTGTCAGCACTGTCACATTAAACATCGTATGTAACAAAATAAAACTAAATAAATTCACTGCAGTTGAAGTTGCATTCACTTACACACACTTACACATACACATACTGAAGTCAAAGACATGAGACAGAAACCTTAAACATCAACACAGGATGAACTCATTTAACTGAATCTGAGTCTTCAGAATGAAGAGACCAGTCACATGATATTCAGTGCAAACCACCAACAGGTCACCACTTCATATTGGTCAAATTTGAGTTAAAAATAGTTTTCTGTGGAAACAAAACTGCTTTCTCTTCCCTTCATTGGTGTTTAGATTTGGCACATTTGTTTATCAAGAGTTAGATTCAACAGTTTGAATATTAATAGAGAGCAGCTGAAACGCATCAGAACCAACAGCAGCAGTAACACATCAGACAGTTCAGTGGAACACATCACTGCTATGTGAGTCAGGTTTACCTCGAATGACGTGAACCTCATGCAGCCAGACCAGAGGTGGACTGACAGACACCTTTTATGAGCTGACTGAGCCGCCCCTGGTATGCACAGCGTTGCTCAACAGTTTGTCACCAGGCAACTGTTGCTGTCAAATTGGTATCTACATCCTGAGCGTGTTCTCAGTATGTGGGTCAACTCACTGTGGTTCAGATCTCAGCTGTTGTTTTCTTTATTGATTTTCTGTTCGGGATCTAATTCCAAGTTGGTAAAACACCTGATCCATAAGAGTCAACTCCTTCATCTCCTTTCACCATTTTATAAATCAAGACCCCAAAAATATATGTTGATCATTAAAGAGGCTACCTGTTCAGGTACTCTGTTCACTACCTGTTCAGGTACTCTGTTCACTACCTGCTCAGGTACTCTGTTCACTACCTGTTCAGGTACTCTGTTCACTACCTGTTCAGGTACTCTGTTCACTACCTGCTCAGGTACTCTGTTCACTACCTGTTCACGTACTCTGTTCACTACCTGCTCAGGTACCTTGTTCACTACCTGCTCAGGTACTCTGTTCTCTACCTGCTCAGGTACTCTGTTCTCTACCTGCTCAGGTACTCTGTTCACTACCTGCTCAGGTACTCTGTTCACTACCTGCTCAGGTACTCTGTTCACTACCTGTTCAGGTACTCTGTTCTCTACCTGCTCAGGTACTCTGTTCTCTACCTGTTCAGGTACTCTGTTCACTACCTGTTCAGGTACTCTGTTCTCTACCTGTTCAGGTACTCTGTTCACTACCTGCTCAGGTACTCTGTTCACTACCTGTTCAGGTACTCTGTTCTCTACCTGTTCAGGTACTCTGTTCACTACCTGCTCAGGTACTCTGTTCACTACCTGTTCAGGTACTCTGTTCTCTACCTGTTCAGGTACTCTGTTCACTACCTGCTCAGGTACTCTGTTCACTACCTGTTCAGGTACTCTGTTCTCTACCTGTTCAGGTACTCTGTTCTCTACCTGTTCAGGTACTCTGTTCTCTACCTGTTCATGTACTCTGTTCACTACCTGCTCAGGTACTCTGTTCACTACCTGTTCAGTGTAAAGGCCACTCAACTAACTTTTTCAGAGCCTTATTTATATATATTTATTCAGGACTTTAGAGATTATTTTCAAAACATATCAGAACATTTTACGTTAGTAAAGTATGTCAATACAAGTATCTCAGTATTTAATTACAGTTTCTTTACATTAAAGTGACTTTTGTCATTTCATCTCACTCGGTCAGAATCATTTTTTTCTAGTAAATATGACGATCATTTGTTCTCTGACAGCTTTCATCTGCAGTCCGTAGATAACGGCGTTCATGGAAGGAGGAACCATGTGGAACAAGATGGAGGCCAGCTTCCTGTGGTCCGACAAGTGAGGGAACCGATGGAGGATGATGATGATGTTCCCGACAAGAGCAGGATGGCATACACGGCCAGGTGGGTGGCGCAGGTCTGCAGCGCTTTGCTGTTCAGAGACTTGTTCCTGCTGCTCAGACACACGACGGCGATCTTCAGGTAGGTGAGCATCACGCTGCACAGCGACGCGGCAATCATGAGCATGCCGCTGCCGAGGCCGTAGATGTGGTTGATGAGGACGTTCTCACATGACAGCTTGAACAAGGAGGCGTTGTCACAGAACGGGTTGAGAATAGTCCTTCTGCAGCGAGACAGGCGGACGCTGAGGCCCACGAGGATCACGATCAAAAAGAAAGACACCGTCCACGCCGCCACCGACAACGCCGCCACCATCCTGCTGGTCATGATGGTGGCGTATCGCAGGGGGTTGCAGATGGCCACGTAGCGGTCGAAGGCCATGATCATGAGCACCGTGTGGGAAACACCTGCATGACACACTCATAGTAGTGAATGTAGCGCTGAGTCATTGGAGTGAAAAGATACCCCAGGACACGAGGGATGATGGTCGTCGCCCCGAACGCATCGTTAACACTCATGTTGCAGAAGAGCAGGTACATGGGCTGGTGGAGGCTCCTCTCCATGGTGATCAGGACCACCAGGCCGATGTTGGACACCATGATGAAGATGTAGATGAGGAGGAGGAGGACGAAGGCAGGAACGGAGACCTCTGGGCTGACCTTTAACCCCTCCAGCTGTAGAACATCCGTATCGACGGATTCGTTGTCCATGCTGCAGAGGGAGGATGAAGAAAGCATAAAGCCAAAATAAATCATTATCAAATTAAATGGAGTAACAAATTAATATCATGTTTAGTGTGTTTGGACTCAAAAGAAAAAAGTCAAACAGAACTATAGTTCTATCTGGAGAAAGTTAAGATTTCTCCTGATGCAGTTGTTTTACAATAAATCACAAGTCCATCCCTCATCTTTCACTGCTTATCCTGTTCAGGGTCGCAGGAGGGCTGCAGCCGATCCAAGCTGACACTGCGGTGAAGGCAGGGTTCACCTGGACAGGTAGCTAGACCATCACAGGTCTAATAGAGACAGACAACCATTCACGCTCACATTCACACCGACGGGCGATTTAGAGTCATCACTGTCTTTGGACTGTTGGGAGGAAACCTGAGTCCCCGGAGAGAGAACCACGCTGACACACGGCGAGAGCATGCAAACTACACAGAGGTGATAGGTTTGTACATTTAACATATTATATATCATTGAAGAGGTTTTGCATGAAGCACAATAACATTCACATGAACAGTGTATCACTCTCTCTTTCCTTCTATTACGATAATCACCTCTGGTTCAATGTCTATTTAGTTTGCACGTTGCACAGAAATCATTTCAGATTTTTATTTAAAAGCAGCTGTTCAAAAAGATCACAATTACTTTCTTAAACTGTAAAATAAATATAGTTATCAGGACTGTCAGAAAAATATTGTATATAAAGGTGAATATGTTGTTTTTAAATATAAACTGAAAGAAAACGAACACTTTCTAACCATAAAACCAGCTTCAAATATACAACTCTGAAAGTCAAACTTCAATACTTCACCTAATCCAGTTCTGTCGACTGTGGAAGCTGAATTTATTCAACATTTCCAGGCATGAAGAGAGAGTCGCAACATGTCGAACAGGAAACTCCAAAACTGAAGTCACAAGATTCTACGAACTAGAAGGAAAATATTCCTGCAAACAGAGTATTTAAATAAAGGACTGATCAGTTCAATGAAAACAAAGATGAAATCCTAAAGAAACACTTGATACAAATGTTCAGTCTGAGGATTTCAATCATTTCCAGACATTTCAGATTACTCTTTCACTTTTCATCAATGTTGATATTTGGCTGTTCTTCATGTTTTCAGCCACACAGAACATGTTCATGAAGCTTCAATAGAACAAATGGACATTTAATAAAAAGCATCTCAAATGAATTTAACATGCTTCATTTGAATAAGTCTCGAAAACATTTGATTGTTATTGATTTGCTCTTTTCATTCAATTTCATCTTTTTTTTAAATTTGCTAGATTACAGTTAACATGTCAGTGTTGTTACACATTGTAAGACTGTATGAGTGTGAGTCAGGTTTACCTCCTCCAGCCAGACCAGAGGTGGACTGGAAGACACTTTATAAGACGCCTGAGCGCTTTAGACCACATCTCCAGCGGCCCTGAGGGCTTTGATCTCCTCACATCAAAACAATTTAATGATGTTTTTAAGTTTCATTCAACTTTACTTACAGAAGTTAACTCCAGTATTCTGCACTATTATGTACTTACAACACGGCTTACAACACGGCCAATAGCACATTT